GAGAATAATATTATTGATATGCTATTATTAAATCATAAATAAGCTTGAGTTGACTTCGATTTACTTTACAGAAGAGATAATATGAAGAGACAGCACATGTTTCTTGTTTGGTTAAATCGATGTAGTTGTTTTAAACTCGGTACGAAATCAACTTATGATTTAGAATAAGTAAGAAGTTGAGTGTTAAGGTTATGAGAAGGAGAAATTGAGTTAAAAACTATACTGTATATAAATTGTATTTGTATCGCAAAATAGTCATTTACACGTTTCTAATATTGATTGAGAAAAAATGTGAAAATAAGAGACATCACGGGATAACGAAAAAAGGACCCTCGAGATGAGGAGCGACCTGTTTTTGATTCTTATGTTTTTGCGAATATATAGTTGAGAGCTAAAACAGTCAAAATAGTGTAATGTAATGCCACTTTCAATTTTTTAAGAGAGTTTGTCCATGTATTCTCTCCTAATTAACATGTGATTCTACCAAGAAGGAGGAAAACTTTTTCGATATTTAAAACAAATTCAATAAAAATATTTATTTGAATTCCCACTTAGCTATATCCATACGCTCAGAGATATCGACATTTACGTCCATCTTGTTACTTTAACCTAAAGAATGGATTTTCATTTATCATGACACCGATTTTTTGGTTTTCTGCATTAAGTTTTGCTTTGTCTTATTTACTCTTAAAATAGGATTTGATTCATATCAATCCAAACAATAATTTAAAGAAATCCATTTTTTGTTGGAACTCTGCTTTATGAATATAAGTCAATCAGTCCTATTTCTATGTTGAAGTATTAATCGTTATTTGCTGTTATACTGTATAACAGCAAATAAATGAATAGGAAATATTCAATTAATTGAAGTTTTTCTTGAATTCATTGATTTGATCAACTCGACAAATACAAAAGATAAGTTGATTAATATCATTCAATAATGATGTCTCCATAATTCTTCAAATTCTAAGTTTACATAAAGGAAAAAACGCTTTCAGCATAATCCCTAACGGGATAAAAATGTGAAACACAATTAAACTAGCGACTTTGCTCTTGTCAAATATTTCTGAGAAAGCAGATATCAATTCGACGACATGTAGTTATACAAATCATCTATACAAACCAAGTAGAGAACCGTTGTAGAATGGTATTTTTAAGGATGTTAAAGTATGATTGAAACGAGATCAGTTAGGTTATTAATGGCGGCGTCAAAGGGGGCTGAGCCCCCTCAGAATTCTTCGGGTGAGGGTGTGAGGGTGTGGATGTCGATGACGGCGCGATATGGTAGAAGGAAGACTAGCGCGCCCATAGACCCACACCCTCGCACCTTCAACAAAAGGCTCTTTGTTTGCCAATGTCTTCTACATGTATATCCAATTGCCTCACACTGTATCATTAATTATCTATTTTCCCCAAATGGGGTAATTGCAAGGTTGTTTTCTAATTTGTTTTTTAGTTCTACCCTAAGAAAGAATTTTGAGAGTACGCTTTTTACAAGGATATGTGCCAGAATTTGCTTTGATCCTAGTAGTGCTGGTCTGACCCATTTTGGACCTAGACAGTAGGAAATGTAACTATGCCAGAAATTTCTTTTTGGGTTCGCATTTTTTACTAAAAGTTTTTATATTGGATTGGCGATATTGCTGTGAGTCCGGGTCACCGTAGGATATTTATGAGTCCCTCAGAGGATGGATGCGAGCCGGCTATGCCAGATAGAGGTCTTCAGGGCGGAAAAATAGGAAGTTTCAAAGGGTGGGGTGACTTTCAGATGAGATGGACAACCATGCCCGAATACAATAGAATAGCTTATTTACGTGCACAAGAAGCGGAAAATGAAGGATAATAGTACAAGAGTTAAATAAACACGAAAAATATAAATAACGCTCGTCGAGACGGACTCGCATTACCCTGGACTGAAAAGATTCATATGTTTTTGTTTTTTTTATTATGCAACAACTGTGATCAAATATGATCCTGTCAGAAAAGATTCATATGTAATAATCAATTTGCTATTATTTTTCCATTTCATATAAGAGAAAATGTTTTCCAATATGAAGTTTATTTATTTGTTTTTCAATGAAGCAAAGACTAGTAACGCTCGTCGAAACAGACTCGCTTAACCCTCGACTGAATGACTAACAGTAAAATATTTCTTTTGCTGAAATTATGCATAATAATTTGAATTCTATTATTATTGTTATGTACTCGTCATAGTTCTTATTCACATTGTCATCTGAGAAGTCATATCGTAGGTATTAAAAAAAAGCATTCTAATTCAAATAAAAGTTGAGAAGGTTCGTTTCAAAATTTCGCTAATCAACTTCATAACAGAAGTTTATTTGATATTCAATTAAAACAAAGAAAAATGAACAGAGAAAAACAATATCTAGGTAAATATCCCCTACATAATCTGAAAGTGACACCATCTTATTTTAAAGAATACTAAAATGTAGAAATTACATCAATTAATGAAAGATAAATGATCTTATAATAAAATTACACAGAAATAAAAGATAGTGTATTCTTATATATATGATTCAATGAAACCATTCCGGAAAACGTGATCGTATATTCAAAAATAGCTGATCCAATCTTTCCATTTCAGTAATTTGAGATTTAGATGGTTTCATCAGGAAAACTTTATAATCAAATGGTCGTAGAATTGCTAAATCAAGCAAACGTTTCACACGAGCTAGTGGTACGTAGACTGCTGCAATATCATCAGTTTCATTTGGTAATTTTAAATCGATAACCACTTTGCTCAATGTTTGACCTTGACTTTTATGTGTTGTAATACAATAAGCAGGTACAAGTGGTAATGCAGATCGTTTAATTGATAGAATTGTCTTTTGATTTGATTTTGGTTTCTTATCTTTTGGAATAAGATCAGCAACNAAGAACCTTCTACTGCTAAACCTTTTTTTAAGTTCAGCATACCAAAAACAGGTTCCGTAGCAAAATGCAAAAACTTATGGGGTTTCATATCAAACTATACAAGGACATTAAGGTTCGGTACGAAACTATTATATTTTCCTAAAGAACTCTGAAAGTTTAGTATTATGCTACGGAACCTGTTTTCGGTATGCTGAACCTAAAAAAAGGTTTAGCAGTAGAAGGTTCTTCCCTCCGATACACGGGAAGATTCTTTAATGGTTCTGTAGAAATTTTTATTGCGTTTTTGTAATCGTGAACCTGTCTGGAGACTTTTTCGTAACCACGGAACTTTTTTTGAAGGTTCAGTAGAGCACTAATTTTTTTTAGAGTGAAGAAAAGAGAGACAATTTGGTAGATGTGTAGAGTAATATGACAGAAAATAAGAGAAATAAGAGAGACATTAGCGAGCGATGACGAGGAGCAACGGAGAGAAAACTGATGAGAACAGATTGAAAGATTTGAGGGTGAGTGTTTGTTTGGATGTAAGAGTCAAGAGGGTAAACCCACACACTCACCCTCACACCCTCGATGTACGTTACTTGTTAGATGGATATAAAATCAAAAATTTTGAAACTAGTGAACAAATAGTCTATCATGTTGAATTAGAATAAAATCAGGTGGAAAAGTGAAAAAGACAGTTGAACAAAATGGAGGAGTTATTGATCACAACATAAGACGAACATAATCATGCTGATCTCTTAGTACAATGAAAAGTTGCCATGGTAATGGAGCTAATGTTAAATCAATAAATTTGCTAGGCGGAGGAGTATTATTAGTGTAGTATTGACGTCTTATGATGTGCATCGTACGAGAATCACAATCGAGTTCAATATGAAATGTATTTTTTGGACATAATGTTGACCATCTCAGCGCTATATCAATACATTGTCCATTCATAACTAAGCACTTATCATCTATACCGAATGTAGATGACATCGGAAGAAAGTTTTTAGTTGGTTTCACGTCAATTGGAAGGTTCGCTGGTCGAATGCCAATAAATCCAATCCGTCCGTTTGTGAATGAGGTCATTAAGTTGATGAAATGTCGTCCTTGAAAATAAAGAAGGTTACCAGCAACATATCCACACTGTTGTTCTTCTCCACTTTTTACACATAAACGTTGATTATCAATAATTTTAACATTTGCGTTCACCGTTTCCGAAAAAGTATCACTCAGATATCTTTCATCAAATTTTAAATAACGAACAAGACTAGTGAATTCATTTTGATAACCGCTAGGTGGAGACAAAGTACGTGTTGCCAATGGATTTAATGACCAATAACGTAATTGATTTAGAAGATGTTTAAATAACTGAAAGAAAAAGAGCTTTGATATTCAGTTAACAAATTCATTGATTATATTTTTCATACCCAAGGATCATAATCAAAAAAATAGCGCCATCAATATCTTGGATCAACATCTTACTCGATTGATCCGAAAATATTGTTGACAGAAGAGTACCTTCAATCATAGTCAATATCTTCCTTGATATACTTATTTTTTTCCCACCAACATTCAGATGAACAATTGTATTCGAAATATCGTCTAATGTTTTCTTCGATGACACTTCTTTTTCGACGATATTTTGCTGTAGTTCTTCTGGATTAATGAAAAAAAAGCTTGAATTATCTGTTTCAGTGCATAATTGATTCAAAATGAATTGCATTCATAAATCTTACTGAAATTTTATGTGACAGAATTTGCCAATCTCTTTCTTCATACAACTCCAAGCAGAGACCATCATCAAGGCGGGAAAAACTTCTTCTATCGCTCAGAAAAATTTCTGCAATTGTTCCGATTATTTTATTCATTTTTCCTATCTGATATTAACTAAAAACGTTATGTCTTTTCAGTATGAAATATTTTCTGATGCTACTTAAAATGCAATTGAATAATGATCTTCTACCTTACGAATTAAATGCTTAATTTATTTGTCAATGATTGACTTCATTATGGTATCTAGTTCCTATCATACCTGTAATTATTGTTACTGCTGATGTATTTGTATTCGATGTATGAGGGGACGCCATGCGTGTTTTTATTAGTAGTTATAAATGAAAACTGTTTCGAGTTGTCTTATCAGAAATATAAAGAATATTAAAGTATCACCGTTTATCTTAATTTTATCAGTTATAGAGAACAAAACTCTAAAAGTTGACAAATAAAATAACGCTCGTCGAGGGAGACTCGCTTTACTCTCGACTGATTGGGTTATACTTCAGATAAAACTTGCGCTTCCAAATGATGTCTCGAGAACAGTCTTCGTCAATTTCAACCTTTTTCAAAACTAACGAAAGAACTGTCATCGTTCTTGTTATTTATGTAATGTCCATTATTCATGATCATTTTTCACACATGAAACAGCAGTCCGCTAAGAATAGCTGCTATGATCCTTGCGTCTTTTAGTAATGCAAAACTCGAAATTTCGGCTCAACTATTCAACTATTTTTGCAGTCTTTTTTCAATTATTTGAATATTCGACTGCTTTCAAAACTCTTCTGTTCATCCTCACTGAAATGATGTCCCTTCAGAACCCTTTTACTCACTCGCGAGTATACGGATACTCTAATAATTGAACGGAAGGATAAACTGTTGAATTTAAGTTTCAAACTATAAATATTTGGTATGATGACAATTTATGATTGTATACTCTTCCTCTTCTTTCTTTCTCTTCCTCTTTATATACAACAATTATCTGCTTTCTTTCTTCCTTTATGAACTTCGACACTAGCCTCTTAATTCATATACCCAACATAGAGATATTGATAGATTTATCTCTTCTTATTATGTACCATTCATATGGTATTAATATCAGAAACGCACTCTTATGTACGACTGTTTCTGCTCTCTGCGTTTTGAAAAGACTATGATCACATGATCATCTGGCTCATCAACTCATTGTACGATAGCGATAGATCTTAGATATTATTTATAAAGCTTGATATTTTTCTGTAGCGTAATACTGTATGTACTGAGAACTATGAAAGGCCGAGGAACATACCGTAGAGATTCGATTTGTTTCGATTCAATACAGGATACACTTATCATGTATTATCTCTTGTATTATAGATCATCATAGGCATCTTCAAAGTAGGATCTAGCATTGCGACCAAAAAACGTTTTTGGTTCCAACCGCAAATGGCTGCACTATTTCGTTGATTCGAATATAAGATAATCTATTAAATGTGCATTTTGTAGAGAATCTTTTTCTCTATCGAACTGTATAGGTTAGATCATAATAGAACACTTTCTCTTCGACTAATGCAGCAAAATGATCGGGCGAATTTCGCTTCTGCACAGCTCGCTCAAAACTAACCCTTTGGTTTCTTGTTGACACTGGTCTAAAAGAAAGTTTTATGGTATCGTTGAAAGCATACAGCTTGGAAGAGGAAACGGTTCTCTATAAAATACACATTTAACAGATTATCTAACATTCTAAACAATAAAATGGTGCAGAAATCTTCGGTCGCGCTGCCGCACCATACCTTATACGTGTTCTCCCTTTCCTAATAAAATGAAGAGTTAAGTGAAGAAAGATGAGTGTTCATGTAAATTTCAAATCCAAAGGTGTCAAAATGTTTCTAAGTGTGAACTAGAGACGTTGTCATATCAAAATCTCGTTCATTTAGTCTACGATCATTACTTTTCTTCTCTGCATTATTATACTTGAGTGTGAGACACATCCTCTTCTGGTGTCCAATTTGTGATTCGGTACGCTAGCAAAAACGAATACTAACAATAATTTATACAAGATTCTTCGCTGTCTGTTTTCTATAGTCACACCAACAGAAGCAAAAAAATCAGAATTGTATTTTGGACTTGTGTTTCGAAGGAAATTCTCCTACTATCACAAATACAAGTTACATTACATTCTGAGAATGAATCTTTCAGTTTCGATGTATGATACATTTCCTTGCACATTTGGAGTTATGAAAAACTTTTACCTAATCTTTGTTCCACTCATAATGAAACTCTCTTATGGGCCGTTGACCTCAGGGCTCAACATACGTTTAACGTCGACCCTATCTCACATGTCCTCACCCTCTCAACCAACTTTCAGTGTCAAAACACCCTTCGAAACCATGTTTTATGAAGTTCTGAGCGTTTTTGGAGAAAATGTTTTTTTGACCTTTGACCTTTGAACTGCGACAGACACACACACGCACACAAACGAATTTCCGTTTTTTGACCACTTTTTTTCGACATGACCCTCCTTTTAGTCGAGGGAATATTCATCGGGAAAACATCGATTCTTATAATCGTTGGCGAATTTCTCCAAATAAACCATCAAGTTTGTTTGAATCATTGCCCAGAAGATGGAGAAGACGTTCACGTGCTTTCAACACGACACCATACCATAATGATGAGAATGCAGCAAAACGTGTTTCCAAAACCACAATAACAATAGCTGAGACAATGATTTGATTATGTGCTAGTTGTTGAAATGTACTTAACGAATGTCCTGTTAATTGTTTGATACTGTCTGAATCCAAATTCCAACTACCATCAAACTTTTGCTGAGCGATCAAATAACGAACAGTATCTTGATTATATGTGTGTTGTGGATCTTCAGAATGATCTGAGAACGTACTTCGCGTATTTGCAGCTGTTGAATACTGAAAAATGTAAAAACAATGTAGAAAAATAAAAGGGGACCAATGTTTTACCTGTACTGACGGAACATGAACGTAGTTGGCCAGTTGGTGACGCAAAAATGATTTTGCCGAATTTTGCTGCGTTGAGTATTGAGAAGGATTCAAGTTCGAAAAGAATTGACCAACGTAACCGTCACCATTGATATCACGCGCAGTGATCCTCTCGAACTTGTCGAGATAACCTGAGCCACCAACGTAACTGTCACCATTCAAATCCATACCAAGTCTTCTTTCCAACGCGCTGACAATCCTTGAACTCATCGACTGGAAATGTGTGTCTAAATGGTGATCGTCGGCTGAAACTTGAATTGGGACTTCACGTAAAGTCATATCAGCATTATTTGAATTTAGTCGTTTTTCAATACCAACAAAAGCCGTATGAGGACTAAGAATATGATATTGAAGAGATAATTCAATAATACGTTTCTGTATGTTATCCTTCGCTGATACATTCGACTGTTGTTCTAATAATCGATTTTGTAAAGAGGATGAGGGTAGTTTAGCATGTTGTAATTCAAGAATAAGTGCTTTCGTAGCCAATCTGCTAATCATATTGTTATTACCTATATTAGCCGCTTGAAATAGTTTTATATGACTTAATTGATATTGTTCGGTCGTTAATTCAACACTTGATTTCAAATCAAATTGAGCAGATTTATCATCAACTAGAGCGTAAATAATTAAACGTTCACCAGCATAAATAGGTGGGATTTTTGTTGGAATACTGGTTATTCCCAATCTATTTAAAGACCACTTGACTTGAATATTCATAATATATGGTTGAAGTGCTTTCTGTAATTGTTCACCAACATAAATATCGACATTACTATTCGGTGGAATAAAAACATAGCGACCATTTGTTGCTCGAGCTAGTCCTTTAACAAGTGAACGACTAGGAGATGAACCTAATCCAAATGAAAAGATACGGGTTGAAGTAGCCATTGTTCGACAGAGATCAATCACTTCTTCGACATTAGAAATTTCACCATCAGTAAGTAGAAAGATTTGTCGAGCACGACTTTCACGTGGTGGTTGACTTTCAAGCCATTGAAGACAGTTTAACTATAGAAATAAATGGCTTTATATTTCTAGAAGACAATGTTAATTCAAAGTTTACTTACCAATTCAGTACCACCTAAATCAGCATTGATTTTTTTAATGTATTCTTCCGCTTTTTCAGCATTGTCTTCATTATAAAGATCTGTAGTATCTTTAAAGAGAGTTTTATATTTCGATCCAAATCGAATAATATTAAAGTAAGAATTAATAGGTAAACTCTTAAGAAAAAGTGAAATTGCTTGTCGAGCTAGACCAATTTTGTTATTATCACTCATTGAACCACTACAATCAATAATAAAAATAAATTCATTCATCATTCGGCCATGTTGATATTTCAGATGTCGAAAGTCATTTTCAGTCGGTGTAAATGATACCATCACTGCACCTGGTTCAACAGCAACAAATGTATTCGATCGATCTGTAGTTAATTGCATATCTAAAATAATATCATGATCTAATTGAATATTTTGTTGAGCAAATACAATTATATAATAATTTTGATCATTAGAATATACTTGAATTGGATGAGATGGAGAACTGATTTGGCTAATTCCAAATTTATTAACATGACAACGCAAATCAATTGTATACGGACTCCATTGAACATAAGTAGAAGTAGTACTCGCTAGTGAACTGATACTACCTTGATAAGGATTGTAACGAGGAGCAATCGTTGTTGGAAGAACAAATCGTATCTTAGTACCATTTTCAACAAGATCCAATTCAGAAACATACCAAATACTTATTTGACATTCTTTACCCGATGGAATAGCACCAACATTAACGATAAAATTATCTTGTGATTGATCATTTTGTTCCAATAGATAAGCTCCATGACCAACTTGTAAAGCATTATTATAATCTTGTTGTGCTCTCGTTTTCTCTTTTAATATAGAAATAATTTCTCGATCATCAATTCGGGCTACAAAACTGTATATAGCTGCTTGTTCTTCAATTGGAAAACAATAAACAGTTTCAATTGATGTTTGTTCATCATTACGAAATATTTGAGTAATACATACATCAGCACCATATGATTGAATTGTAGCTGAAATATTCACTCGTTGAAGTGGAATATATTCTTGTCTACCACTTTTTATTCGAAGCATATTCAAATAAATGATATTTCGTGGAAAAAAACACTTCCTTTTTATACACCTGTAATTACATATAAATAAGTTGAGTCATTATTAAGGAAGTGAATAATATTACTCATCACAAATTTAAGACATCATTGATTAATAGACCAGAAATATTCTAGTATTACGAAAATATTTTCCTATTATTTAAAATGAACCGACATAATTTACTATTTGAATAAGATTTCATTACTAAAATGTTTCTAAATTCATATTCGATATTACTTTTTCTCTCAATTGAATATAAAAACATGATAAAGTTCTTCTGATATTGTTTTAGATAATCAACACTTGGAAATTTACTCTTACAACATATCGTATACAACCACGTGTATGTCAAGGTTAAAATTATATTTACAATATCCATCTGAAATATACATATAAATACAGTCATTAAATTAAAAAATAGAGTAGCGAGACAATTAAACTATAATAATACGAGATGGACTATCTTTTAATTTTCATGGAATAATTTCGTGCTTACGTAGAAATAAATTAAATAGCTGTTAGATTCGTCGTATCGACAGAGAGTTAAGGATTATATGTTGATTTATCCAATGGATCAACTGATAAACATTTATACGAGATATCGTTTAAAATGTTTCGTTTAGATCTACTGATTTAGAAAATATGTCGACTGTTGAAAGATTGTTTTCAAGGATGAAAAATGACAAGCGTTTTTTTACGGTCGTCTTTCTACTTGCTTTATGTTATCTTTTATTTGATTTGCAGAGAAAGAGAAATACAATAGCATAGATGCTATTCATATTTTTCTGTTCTTGACTTATTCTTTTTATTGTTCTGTTCGGTATCTATCATTGACATATCAAAAACGGTTTTTGTTCTGTAAGTTTCAACTCAAAGAAATCTTGCTTGTTATCGAGAATTTCGTGATATTAATTTTCTTCTCCTTTTCTCTAGTAATTAATTGCCTTTCTTACCACTCCAGTGACATTTATTCTCAGTTTTTATTGTTTTTATGTGAAAAAATTATGAAAAAGTAAATGTAGATGTATATATATATATATATTACTACTGCGGAAAAGCTCTTTTTCGTTTTGTACATTTAGCTCGTCATTAACAAACATGTGTAAGGGATCAAATAAACTGTCGGTTTTTTACAACATACTCTAATCTATTTTACTTTTCTTGTCTTATCATTATTAAGATAGTCTAGTAGGAAAGAGAAGAACATTCAATGATAAATGAATCATATAATATTATCAGTGGTTTTGGTTTTTACCGAGAGATGATATAATATACTCATCATATATAAAGCGTAGTTACTGAAAATATTCGCAGTTTAGAGAACTAGGAAATTTTGAAAGCGAACTTTGGTTCTTTTTACATGGCTTTTACGAAAGAAATGGACGATCTTTATGGCAGTCTCTCCTCTACTAATGAAGAGGAGACACAAAAAGAAACAGTTCCGACATATACTGGAAGTGAACTGCCCGAGCAGACAAGAATCGTCAAAAACGCGTGAAAACGCTGTAAAAATTTTCGCCGTGTTTCTCTACCAATCGCGGTTCCCGATTGTCAGCTAGAACCGTCATAAATAAAAGTCCGAAAAAACGCCAAAAAAAATTACTAAAATATTTGTCTCTGGATATTCAGTACCTTTTTAGAATTATAATATCTGGAAACAATTATGAGCGATATTCATTTCTATTTTTACTTGCCGTGTGTTTCTACCAATCGGGGACCACGTTTGTCATCCATACTCGAAGGATAGATAGAAGTGTTTAAGCTTCACTTTTCTATGGAAGTGTATCTGTCAATATTTACGTTCCAAAATGATTTTCGAAACGTACTATGGATATCCACTTCAAGAAAAATTCTCCTATACTTTACCAATTGTTTTCACCATCAAAATCATCAGACGTATTTTATGTGGATAAATCAAATCACCTGCGCAATTCAGCCCTCTGATACATCATGCCTAAATACATAAATTCGGCTCACCAAGCGACTATTAATTGTCTAGATTTCTAATGCAACACCGAAAAACTGTCACTAGAACCAGATCTAACATGGAATTGAATCTAAAAGCAGAGAACAAATTTGATTAGAGAGCTTTGCAAAGAATAGACCAATGAGATGACGTACTGTAATGTTGTTCTTGAACGTAGAATTCAAAAGAAGAAACATGAGCAGATTTGACTATATAGAAGGAACTGGAACGAAGTAAACTTCAACGAGAAAATGGTAGTGTGTAAATTGCTGTTGAGAAGTTGTTTTAGATCACTGTGACATCAGCTTAAAGTATCTTTTATGTTGGAGATGGATGAAAATCAACGTAGACGGTAAAACTGGATCATGCATCGGTGTTGATGTTCTGATCGTCGAGGAATTTCATCGTGATAGGATGTAGAATCGATGGTAATATATAGAACGATGTCGCTACTAACATGTGAGCAGTTTGTTATAACAGATTTAAATGACCTATGCGTTACTTTCAGGAATCATTTTGTTTATGATAGTCATACACTTGAGTTTTTGACTGACACTACTAATAGTAATGATGAAAGCTCATTATGTACGTGAATGAGAGCGGTTGCATTTTGTTAGTTAATGGTGTAGTTTGGGATCGTAATATAATATTACGCTACTATTCGCTAACATCTATAAGTAATGCATATAGCAGGAAGTGTGAATTAGTCAGAGATCAACTTAATTGATTCAACAACGAAATATTGAAATAGTTTTCAAATCGAATTGGATCTGTAAGAAGAGAGAGAGAGAGAACTATTAAAAACTCGAAATCGTTATGGACATTTCAAACCGGTCTATGTTCGTAGCGTGTGATAAAATACAAAACAGAGAGAGAGAGAGAGAGAGAGAGAGAGAGACGTTAGGTGGACGGAGTTATTATGTATTACTTGATTTCTTTTCTATTCGCAGTAGTCGATGAATTTAAGTACCGTACTTAGAATATGACGTCGGCTCAACACTCGTAGACCTATCTTTGTGAAAAATATCATCAGACAAGAAAACGAACGTTTTCTTCGATTCACATCTATCTATGTAATGCTCAGTATATATCTATATGTCTTTCTGTCTGTTTCTCTGTGCCGAATGAAAGGTTGAAGGTCAGATACGAAATATTCGAGATCGAGGGTTATTGAATGTTAAAGATATACAAGAAGTAGAAGTTAAAGGTTATGAAGCTATCAAATTTGATGTTTAGTATCTCTACGCTTGGTTTTCAATATAACTTGAAATCTCGGATGTCCTTAATTGAAGGTAAGTAGTGACAGTGCAGTATGCGTCGGGTCTCGCTAGTTTGTTGAATACTGTCGTGTTTCACAGGAACGTATTAGTAGAAGACGTATTATGAGTATTGACCAAGAGACTATCAAAAAACTGTTTTCCTTATTTGAGTCTTACAACCTAAACTTATAATTACTTATTCGCTTTGCCGATAGTTGAAAAAAATCCAAAAACCAAGTTTCGAACAATTTGGGACTCTTCAGATGAAATATGTAACATCTGTGGTACGTTCTGTAGTGTCAGTTGCTGAAACATTAAAAGATTCGGTCAAGTCCAGGACTATTCAACTTTTATTTGGTTATTCTTGATATAAGCAATTCTGCATTATATTCTGATTTTGTTAATCTCTGAAACTTGTATGTGGCTCTCTAAACGGGCTACTGTCATGCTAACTATATGAGTACCAGAGCCCTCAGCAGGCCCTCTTTTCTTTAGCTTGGCCTGCCTATACCAGGCCCGTACACTTCGTTGTCTGCCTGCCTGCCTGCCTGCCGAAGCCTGTCTAAACTTTATATTACCATTATAAAGTCAAGCGACTAGATCAGGTATTTATTTAGAAGCAGTTTCTACATGGAACAATGTTCAGACCACGTCAGGATCGGGGAGAAGGTCTGGCTGTTGCTCCAGAATATCGTTCGAAGTACGAGAACAAAGAGAAGAACGATGAACGACGCTCTGTAACTACGATATGAGCGACAGTCGATAATTTCGTCGAACAATAACGAAAATACTGACTGAAGAATGATGCTCGTACTGACGGAGTCGAGGACAAAGACAGAAAAACCAGCACGTTAATTCGTTGTTCGTTGAAATTTCAATGGGACATAATACGGAAAAGCTTCCTCGACATGTAGTAACGTCCATAAGCAACTCTGTTCTCTAAGCTAACAATATTTCTGATATTCTTAGCGAAATATTAGTTGAAGATAAAAAAACA